CTCAACCTTTTCCAAGGAAGAGCCAAAGCAAAACACAGCAGAAGCCACAGAGAAGGTGCTGGGCATAAGGCAGGGAGGAGGCTCTGCTGTCTGAACAAACCCAGAGAGAGCGCATGCACACAGAGGCACAAAGTGAACAGCGGTGCACGAGGGCAGCCACAGACGCCCGGAGCAGCGGGGAGAGAAGCCGTCGGCCACCCAGGGAGTCCCTGCCCGCTGCGGACCCCTGAAAGCCAAGGGTCTGGGTGGGGACGGGGGGGGGGAAGCTCTAGCAGACTGGCCTGCATGCCTTCAGGAAGGAAGCGCCCACCCTTGGGTGGCTCCATGTGGAAGTCACCTCCGGTGCAACGGCAATTGCTCCTCTCTCTAAAATGGCCGGGAGGAAGAGAACCTGAAGGGCCGCCCTGAAGAAAAGAAGGCACATTGGCCAAAGCATTTCCTGACACGGATTGCGACCCAAGAGTGGACGAGACAAACTTGGGAGTTTTTGAGCAGCGGTTGGGTAGCTGCCCGTCTAGGGTGCTCTAGCTGTGGGCACCCGGCCTTTGCCCGTTGAACGAGCCGGGAAGGGTGCTGCCCTGGCTTACAGGGAAGCACCACTCCGGAGACTTCAGCAGGTGCTGCAATGCAGCTCCCTCGGCAATCTCTGGGGTCTCTCGGGTTGGCTCACAAAACCTCAACCTGTTTCTGAAGTTTTCAGTCCTCTGCGAGGCCGAACTGGGTGAGGGGCGGCCTCAAAAGCAGGGTGCAAAAAAGATGCACCCCTTTTTTCCAGCCGGGTCCCCCAGCAACATATCTTGGGAGGCAGCGCGCCTGGAGTCACCCAGGCCTGTGGTTTGAAAAGGGCCACTCCCAGGCACGGCCAGCGGCCACCTCGCGGTCAGCCGAGGTCTGGAGCTGTCCTTCAAAAGCACACGCCTGCAGGCCACGCCCTGGAGGAGCTGCTGATCCTCTCCACCTCTGTCAAGGGGCAGATGCAGCAAGTGTGTTAAAGGGTCAAACTACCCCAGGGTTGCAAGGTGTGTGTGTGTGTGGGGGGGTCTCTGCCACGTTCCCAGGGCCAAGAGATGCCTCAACGCTCAGAGAAGGGAAGCTGCCGTTCTGCCGCGTTGCTGAAGCAAGCTGTGATGGGGAGAAGCAGGGGGAGGACACCCCGGAAGCACCGGCGCTTTGCTTTGCTTTGTTTTTCCCAGGGGCTGAGGCAGCACAGGCAATATGGGTTACAAAAGCACAAGGACACACACGGAAAGCAAAAGCACGACACGGGAGGATGACCACGGCCACGTCTAACGGCACCAAGGGGACTACATGACAAGGATGGGGGGGAGGGAGGGTCATCTGCTCTAATGAACCGATGGCGTGTTGTCCCCCCCCCCCGTCCTTCCTCATGCACTGGCTGCACAGCAGGGGCAGCTGAACACACACACCACCAATGGCAGACACAGCAGGCGGGGAGGGGGAGAGAGAGAAAAGCCCACACCTTCCAGTCTGGGGGAACCAGGGGGGGGAGCTCAACATGGACACCTACTGGCTCTTCCTACGACACAACCACCACCTCTGTTCTGAACAGCACCTGCCTGCCCTCGCGATGCCTGGCTCTTCGTCAGAGGCTCTTCACAGGCCTCCTTCAACCATCCAGAGCGACCCAACTTAAGTCACAAAGAAACCCGATCCAAAGCCGCTTCTGTCTGCCCAGGTCACCTCGAAAAGGAGGAAGACACGGGCTGCGCAAGAACCGTCTATCCGAGATCATAAATGTTTTTAAAAGAGGAGGCGGTCCAGGTTGGTTGAGAAGCCAAAGAGATGATTTTCCAAGACCCACTTTTCTTCTCAGGATCCTGTTCCGTCGGCTGGGACTCCTGGCGGTGTTCTCTGGCTTATCTGGAGGACCGAGAGGGGTGCTCTTGGCCAGATGCCTCAAACCAGCACCCAAACCTGACACCCCCCCCAAACAATCCTACCTCAGGATCTCCCAATGGGACTGAAGGCCAGGCCCCGGCCAGGTTGATGCTCAGGTGTGCCCCAGGGTTCCAACACATACACACACCCCGCCACCTATTCGTACTGCAGAGACGTGGAGTGGGGTGGGGTCCGTTTCCTGTTAGAATATCTCATCAAATTAAGGTAAAGCTGGAGTGATCTAGGCAGGGCAGAGACTGCCTGTAGGGTCGGTCTGCATCCTGCCCTGCAAAAAGGATCCAGTTTGCATTTGGGGAATGCCATGACAGGCAGAACCATCACAAGAAGCTGAGAGGAATACTGCTCCGGTTCTATGGCTACACATGGAGGTTCTATGTTTTAGCTGACTGTTGTGTGTCCTCTGTGGACCATCTTTGGAGGGGGGGCACTCAGAAATGCAGTGACTGGAAAAGGCAGCCACAGTGACTACGTACAGGGGACGGGAACTACAAGCTCCCTACAAGCGTCCCTGTGGCTTCTATTCCATTTCTAGCCGGAATCCAAAGCGATGGGATCCTTCCCTCCCAAGCCCTTTGCTGCCTCGGGGCAGGCTGTTCCCTCATCCAACTCCCCAGTGGTCATGAGCAGCCTGGGTCCATCGGCTCCTGGCCCCGCCAACGTCTGAGCCAAGAGAGGCTTGTGGTCCCAGCCTCCTGGCTGGGCAACCGCCTCACTTACAATTCCCTTTGCCCAAGCCTTGTGTCCAGATTTCATCCCTCTCCTGCCAGATTTTTATCTTATAGTCTTTGTTTGCTGTGTCTTGTTTTATTGTGGTTTGTGACACTTATTGTTTTAAAATTCTGCATTGGGTCTGATGAAGCAGGGGCTAGAAATTTTCCACTTCAGTGATGGGCGAAATAAGCAAGATATCGGAGCCATTCCTTGCCCGTTGGTCCTTTGAACTCTGCCTTCTGCTGCCAGTCCTTTCCTTGGCCTTGACAGGAGGAGGTGCACGGCCTTCTGCGCCCCTGGGGCCTCACCCTGGCCTGCATACTCCCGCTCTGGAGGTCTGCCCTGAAGTCTGCCGGCTCTGGCACCCTCTCGAGAGACTCTCACCTCAGCCCAAACTCTTCCCGACTGGGGCTCCAGAGACGCTTCTTCAGGAGGAAGGTGGGACTTGTTGTCTTTGCAATGTGGGGCCTACGTTTAAAAAAGAATAATGACCACACCCTGTGCTTCCAAACACCGTCTGCCTTGAGAGATGCAAGATGTCCCAAAGAAAATCAGGAGGAGGGAGGTTTCCAAGAGAGCACACGCTTTTCCTCACAGGCGGAGAAGGTGGCAAGAAGGCCAGGAGCCACCAGGGAAACAGGCCCAAAGTAGAGATATAAAACCTAGCTGAGTATTTGAGTTGCTGCTGAGAGAAACAGAGGCACGGACTTATGGCTGGGAGGGTCAGCATCCCTACTCCAGAAACCTCCCCGAGGATGCCAATGAGCGCACGTTCCCAAGATTAACGCCCAGGAGACCTTTGGCTCCGCATGAAGGCGCCCGGTTCCTCAGCTCGCTGCCAGGGACGGTGGCTTCCCTGGGCCAAGCGTGATTCCGCTCCTGCCCTGCCAGGTGGCACAGGAGGCTCTGCAGCCCCCGGCCTGCCCACCGGGCCCCTCTGACGGCGGGGGGGGGAGCCCCAGGGGGCCACAGAAGGCCAGAAAGGGCACCGCTTCGGCTGTGCCGGCCAGCAAGGAAGAGGCCTCTCCAGCTGCCCTTTGGGTTTTGCCAAAGGGAGTCAGACCTGGCACCCAGGAAGCGCCAAACAGCCCAGAACGCTTTGCTCTGACGGGCGGCCCAGGGCGCCTGACGTGCGTGCTGGGGGAGGCCGTCTGCCCTTCTAGCTCTGCACTCCCTCCTTGGATCAGAAGCCATGGCTCCCCAGTGCCTCCAGTGGAGAAGGATCCTGCCCCACAAGGGTCACCCACGTTGTTCTTCTTTCTCGACACAGCAAGAGATGCCAGGGAGCAAAAGAGGGGCCTCCAGAATGCAAAGTGTGGGTCCTTCTCACTGAGCTCCATCCATCCCCACTCGGAATTCAACCAAGCCACATCCCCACCCACCCCATTCCATCCACCCCACATATATGTCCAAATATACCATGCACCTAGAAGCAGCAGAAGAAGAACAAGCCAACACAGCATGCACGTTCACGCCCACCAGATGAGGAGGCTCAGAACAGCCCACCCAGAAGCTGGGCTCAAGAACTGGTGTTTCAGTGCCATCCTGACCTTGGCAGCATTTTGAGACCCAGACCACACACACCACGGGCCCACTAGAAGGCCACAAGGGCTACCAGCTCTGCAGCTGAGCCCGCTGGGGATCAGAATAGATGGGGGTGGGAAGAAGAGACAAGAGGAAGAGGGAGGAGGAGGAGGAGGAAGGAGAGCATGCCATTTCCTCACCTGAGTGTGACCACCTGCCAAGCCTGCACAGCTAACTGTCCCCACCAGGAAAGGAGCTGGCCTCAACACCGCCTTGGCCTCATCGGCCCGCGGGCGGATCCCAATTGGCGCCCTCCCTCCCTCCCTCCCTCCTGTCCTCTGGCCGTGCTGCCCATTTCAGAAGGCTGGGAGGTGGCAGCCTCAGTGAGGTGGATGAGTTGCAATATTGCCCGTGCTACCACAGACCCCTCAGCCCTCCGCGAAGCAAGCGAATGGATTGGCCCTCAGGCGCCCCCCCCACACCCCCGCACCCCTGATGAAAGCACCTCTGCGTGCCGGCAGTATTGAGAACAGGGACTGTACCATCCGGCGTGGCCTGCTGGTGGCTTTTTTTACATTTGACGTAATCGTGGTCCACCGGAGTGGCTGCGTAGGGTGGGGAAGTCAGACCTGGACCCGAGGAGGAGGAGGGGAGGGAGGCCCCCGGTCCCGGGCCTGTTCCTGCCGAAGAGTGCGAGTCGTCATCCGCCATGCAAAGTTTTTCCCTGGGGAGGAAGAGGAGAACAAGAGAGCCCAGAGTGGGGAGGCCGCAGAGCCAGGAGGCCTCCTGCACGCGCCTCGGGCGGCACAACGTCTTCAAGGGCCCAGTGGCGGCCTGGCACGTGTGGAACCCCAGCACTGGACCAGGTTCAAGGCCCAACTCCAAAGCCCGCAAGGTCTGGGTGAGGCCAAGCACGCGTCACGGGAGGCTCTGCAGGCCGCCTCCCCTTCCCAAAAGGGCTCCGGTCCTTCTGAGCACCTGCAAGCCTGCTAAGCGGACACAAGAGGCGGAGGCCCCCGGGCGGCGAGAGGACGCTGCTCAAGATTTCTCCTGGCACAGCCGGGCACTCCAGAAGACGGCCATTGGGCATGCTCCCCACCCCACTGAACTGAGCTCCCCTCGGTTGGAAGCTTTCATAAAGAGTGGGAGGACCACCACCCACCCGGGGGGGTGGTGGTGGCTCTAGCGGGGGGGGGTCCCCTGCATCAGAGGGCGGGGCTGGGCTCAGTTTCTGTGCACTCACTTTTCAGGGATCTTGGGGGTGTTCTTTTCCTCACCCCTGGCAAAGGGCCCCTCTGCCGCTTCCTTCATGAACGCGACCAGCAGCTCCGCGTCCACCCCTGAGTCAGGCAGCCCCACCAGCTTCAGGATGGAGGCATGGAGCCGGAAATACACCTGCAAGGGAAGAAATCTGGCCTGTGGCAAATCCCCCCGGAACTGAAATCACACAACTGGATAAACAGAGGGGGTAAGCAAGGATAACAAAAACGGCTCCTCACAGCAGGCAGTGCTGACCACACCACAGCCTTTCCATCATCCTATGACCAGGGGAAGGAAGGAAGGGGGCATTTTCAGAAGCCACTGAGGCACCAGACAGGCCCAAGGGGAGGCAGGGGGACCTCCGCGGTGCGGCCCCCAGCTTTCACAACTGAGTCCAAGCCATGCAGGATACGACCGTGATGGCGCACTCAGTTGCAGCTGCAGCGACCAGGATGTGCTCCAGCCCGGGGAAGAGGAAAACCCCTGCGTGCACACGCGCACACCTACGAACACACACAGCCCGCCTGCCTGCCCAGAAGAGAGGAAGGCAAGACAGGCAGGAAAACAGCAGGCCCTGTGCCCTCTTCTGACCCTGGTCGCAGACGAGGCCGGACGAGTCCTCCAGGGACGCCCACACTTCACAGCCACCAAGTGAGGTGTGGCAGGCAGGTATAATGCCACTCCAGGACCCCTCCCTGCATTACTGCTCTCCAGGTAACACACACACACACACACACACACAGACACACAGAGACACACATACCTCTGCTGGCTCTTTCACCCTCACTTCGTCAGCCTCAATGGCATAGTCAGGAAAAACCCAACCCATTGTCAGGCCCAGTCCTGTGGGAGTGGGGTTAAGGAAGAGGGGCACGGCCCAAAGGGACACAGCCCTCCACCATCACCCAGAGAGAGCAAACACCCCTTCTGTCTGGCAGCCGGTGGGAGGGCCAGGGGCAGGGCCAGAGAGACAAACAGATAGACAGACAGACAGACAGAGAGACTTGAGCTCTGCCAGGTATCCCACCGAAAACAGAAGCCCGGCTCGCCCGCCAGGAGGAGGGCCAGGGGCAGGGCCAGAGAGACAGACAGACAGACAGACAGAGAGACAGACAGACAGACTTGAGCTCTGCCAGGTATCCCACCGAAAACAGAAGCCCGGCTCGCCCGCCAGGGAAGAGATCCATACCAAGGGGAAGCACCGCCTGCCGAGACCCAGGCCATGGAAAATGGAGGAGAGGGGCGCCTGTGGCCCCGGTGGCCGTTCCATTTTACCTCCAAGGCCTCCATGGCCAGTTCCGGTGGGTTGTGGTAGTGGATCTTTTTGGGATAGCGGGCGGCCTCCTCGTGCAGGAAGTGAGCCGCCTGCTTGTAGTGGAGGAGGTAGACCTCGGGCGCCTGCTTCTGCTTCTCCGCAATCTTCCCCAGCATGTAGTGGATCAGCCAGTCCTCCTCGTCGCCGTCGCCTTCGCAGTGAGAGGCGGAGGTGAAGCAGTGCTTGGCCGTCTCCAGCATGCCGTTGCGCCGCTCCTCCATCTGGGAAAAGGGAAGCGGGGCCACCTGAAGGGTCTCCCGGCAGCCCCCAGGCGGCCGCTCCCTTCCTCGGGAGGAGGGAGGAAAAGAGGCAGGCGAGGCCGGGCCACGGAGAAAAAAGGTTTTGCCCAGGGGACCAAGGTTTTGCCTTCAAGGGGCCACAAGACCCTCGGCTGGATTTGCCCCTAAGACCGACGGCAGCTGAACGCGGGGACTGCTTCCCTCGGGGACATTTCAAAAACAGCCAAGCCGTCAGAGCAACCCTCATGAGAAAGGGTGGTGGCCTTTAATGCTTCTGCACAGGATCAAAGCAGCAAGCAGGATTGGACCGGAGGGAGGTGCACAGAACAATCCCCGATCCAGAGAAAGGGGGGCAGGGGGAAAATCCGGCACAGGAGGACTACACGCGCGTAGGGCCCTTCTCCTCTGCAGGCACCTCAAGTGGAGAAAGAAACAAGGGAAAGGAGAGCCTCTAGGCCAGCGATGGCGAACCTAGGGCACGCAGAGCCCTTGCTGCAGCCATGCGAGCCATCAGTCGCCAGATCGCTACCCCCCCCAACCAAACCGGAGAAGGTGGCTGCAGTCAAAGTGCTGCCGCTTCAACACAGGCGGATCTGGAAGAGCTGGCACTGGGAGCTGATCCAGAGTGGGGTCTCGAGGCACCTCCATGCCCAGGATTCCCCCTTCTACCACTTCCGTTTCCGCCGCCACCCACCAGCTTTTTTGTTTCCAGTTTGGGCACACGAGCCCAAAAAGGTTCGCCACCACTGCTCTAGGCACTCTGCTCTGGGGAGGTGCTGAGAACCAGGCAAGGAGGCTTGTGCCGTGGGGCATGGGCATGGGGGGGCGCTGCACCTCTTCTGTCTCCCCAAACACACACACACACACACACATGGGTCTTGTCTGCTACACAGCCAACCTGGAACACAGGAGGTGGCCATGCTGGCTTCCCTAGCCCCCCCCCCCCGGGCCCCGGAGGGCCA